CAGAGCAGTCTGCATCCAGATTCCCTATTGGCAACTTGGGTAACCTCTTCAGAGGATGGTGGGATAAGAACAGGAAGTAGGAATTGGGTAGGCAGTTAGGGTAAAAAGACCTCAAAGAAAAGTAGTCAGTTTCTTGGCTAAAATTCACAATGTCCTTGGGCCTCTTAGCAACATACTCTGTTCCAAAGGCCAAAAATGTCAAAAATATCTGGGAGCTTTTATCTAATCCTTAAAGATTTTAGGGTTACCTCTTCAGAGGGGGGACCAAAACTCCCATAAAAAATAAATAAATCGGGGTTGGGGAGATGGCTCAGCAGTTAAGAGCACTGATTGCCCTTACAGAGGACCAGGTTTGATTCCCAGCACCTACATGGCAGCTATGAACCGTCCTTAACTCCAGTTCCAGGGGAATCCGAAGCACTCTTCTGATCTCCAAGGCATTGCATGACATGGGTGCACTCACATACATGCAGACAATACACTCATACACATAAAATAAAAATAATAAAATTTAAAAAATCAATCAATCAAAGAAGAAGAAAGAGCACATGAAGTTATCAGAAAAAAAGTGATGGTAAGAGATGGGAGGAGGTGGACAGGAGGGAGTGGGCATGGATTTGATCAAAACACCTATATGCATATGAAATTCTCAATAAATTATTTTTTAAAAAGATAAAACAAAAAAAAAATAATTCTGGAAATCAGTTTAATGATTATATAGATGCTTAGAAGGCCTTGGTTTTACTTAAAACAGACCTAATTTAAGAGAAGTATTTCTTGCTACCTAATGCATCTAAGTGACATGTTCCCTGAGTGGGCGCATCCTTGGGCTGTCTCTTTACTCTGCACCTCTCACACAGGAGGAAAACAACCCTAGGCTAGTCTGTGTTATTTCTCCCGAGCGAGCATTTATGACAAGAGAATACAGAGCCAGTCCTCCAGGGGTCCTATTGCAGAAGCCCAGATTGCCTTCCCAATGGGCCGACAGTGCATGCTGAGCCTGTTCTGTCACCCCCAGGAAAATGCGAGAGCATATCCCCACCAGGACACAGTTCTGAAACTGTTACCCTTACATTTCTTTTCTTGCCACAAGGATCTCTTCATTGCACCCAGAGAGACACACTCACAGACACCTTTCTCCTCCTTGAGTCTAGACACAATATTTACATTTTTTCTTGCTTGAATGAGTTGGGAAAATCTGGCAGCAAGCATGCTGTACACACACACAGACTACCCATCTGTGAAGTGCCTCTTCAGAGGTCTCGTAGTGAGAATTCCGTCCCTGCCTGCATCAAACACATCCTCTGAGTGGGAGGCTCCTTTCAGTGAGAGAAGCATCTTTAAGTTGTGTTTGGGTCAAAATATGTTGAAAGTAGTCTTTGATGATCACATTCTAGCAGCTGTTGAGAAAGAGGGGGTGGCACAGAGAACCTTTTTCAATCAAAATGTTCTCCTACCAAGCAACAGAGTGATATATTTTTTAAGTGAAATGTTGTTTTATCATTTATTCACAAAAGGAAAATGTACAATGTATTATTCTCAGTGGTTTTAAGTCTTGTCAGAGGAGGCTTGTGACTGTCCATCACCTGTGTTGCAGATAAATAGCAATATTTTCCAGAAAGCAGCTTGGTTCTTGTGATCACATTTCACTGTCCTGACCCCATGCCTAGTGTGCTGGATAGCTTCAGTTGTCAACTTGACTCATCTGGGAAGAGGGAACCTCCGTTGGGGAATTTCCTGTATTTAATTATCCTGCGGGCATGTTTGTGAGGCATTTTCTTGATTACTGAGTGATGTGGGAGGCTCAGTCCACTGTTGGTGGTGCTACCCCTGGCCAGGTGGTCCTAAGTTGTATAAGAAAGAAGCCTGAGCACAGGCCAGAGGAGTAAGCCAGTAAGCAGCATTCCTCCATGGTTTCCTCCAGTTCCTGTTCCAGGCTTCTGTCGTATTTGAGCTCCTGCCCTAGCTTCCTTCTGTGAAGGACTGTACTATAAGGTAAAATAAACCCTTTCCTCTCCAAGCTGCATTTAGTAAGAGTGTTTTAGTATAGCAATAGGAAAGCTAACTAAAAAACCTAGCTAAGCCTGATGAGCGCATTGATTAACCTGGGACTCCAGAAACCCACGCAGGCAAGATTGGTGACTGTGTCTGCTGTGTGCAGCTCATTACCAGTGTTGGAAGCCATGGACTTGGGTTTCATGTGATCTTTGGATCATGGTGCCCACATCAGCAGGTAAGCAACATACCCTTGAGTGATAAAATTGGTGCCCAGGTAGGATGGTTCCCATGCCCAATTCCATACATTCACTGATGAGGTGAGACATGACAGGTTGTCCAGGGGGAATCACATGAAGAGTTTGGAATGAGTCTTAAAAAGAAGAAATGTAGAGGGAAAAGAAAGACCATGATCCCTTTCAGATTATCAGTCCCTTTTAATACTGGTACCCCAGTTCAGGCCTGCTACTGGAGGTGCTACTAGAGGCTTAGGCTCCACATCCTTCCCATGAGTCTGTGAGCTATCTTGTATCCCTCCATGTATGCTGTCATGAACTTGCAAAAGATGATGTTCATTTGTAGTTATGAACATCACCAATACACCCCTTGTCTTATCTCTTTAGGCATCCTTTTTGGCTTTTGTGACTATGGCAATTCACCCAAGTACAGATGCTCAGGGCTCCAGATGTGCCTTGTTATCTCATGGAAAGTGCAACTATGTACTTATTTATAAGACAATTTGGTATTCTTTCTCTCCTCCACTAGTCTGAATTCAGTGGGTAAGGAGCTGGTGTTGGCATCTCCAGCCAATGACTAGATAAGTGACTGAATGTTCCACATTGCTCAGTTCTTCAGGATCTTTGTAAATTTCAGGATATGGCGGTCAACAGGGGCCCTGGGGACTATCTTCTTCTGCCTGGGAGCAGAGATGTGTTTGCCCTAGTTTCTAAGTGTGTATTTTCACATAATTTTTTCCCCTGCTGGCTTTTAGTCACTCTTTGGCTTCTGTTTTTAACATTCATTTTATTTTTGGAATTTTAGTTTTCTTTTCTAACCAGCATTTTTCAGCTCCCATCTAGTGTGTTTTGGGGCTGCTTTTAGGCCAGGCTTCTAGAAAGGGAAGCAGCATTTGTCACTGACTCTGGCACCTGCAGGCTCCGCTTTTGCAAAGGCAATGTTTGACTCTTCAGGGTTGATATTCTAGGCAGTGTGGGCAGGCATTTGGCTCAGAACATCATGTCTGTCAGGAATCTGGGTTCTACCTCTAACCAGCTGTGTGACCCTAGACAGGAGACCTGATCTCTCTGGGCTCAGCTTTTTCATTTATGAAATAGGGATGAAGGTGTCTTCTCACAAGGTCATCAGAAGGATTACATTGGACAATATCAGTGACGTCCTGCTCTAAAATAAATCCTCAACAAATCTTTATAACCCCCCTGCCCTTTCCCTTTCCTCTTTCTGCAACCCCCTTTGAGGAGATGGTAAGGAGGGAGCCCATCACCAAGTGAATGAATCAGTTCATTCAGAGAATAAAGGAAGGTCTGAGTGAATGACCATGTGACCCACATGGTCTTCTACTAAGATATGTTGAATGACAGTGAAACGAGGAGTATCCAAAATCTGGCATTGTGGCAGACACCTAACAGGCGTTCTCTGATTCAGCATGATAAATCTGCTGGCTTAACATCAGGCAGGAACAATCTTGAGCGTGTGAAACACCTGTATGCAGGAGAGGATCTGGACCTTGGTGTAGAAGGATGGGGGTGGGTTTGAGCAGGATACCAAGAAAGGAAGAGAAGACGATGAAGATGTTCTTCCCAGAGCCAAGGGAGAGCAAGGGGCTGATGAGAGGGCAGGCAGAAGGCTGGGACGATGCCCCTGGAGTCTGAAAAGCAAGCACGCTTCTTGTGACATGCAGTAGGTTGCCACATCATGTTCAGTGTCTTCTCTTTGTGACACCAATGCTTCTGTTATGGTTTGAGTTTGTAACATCCCACATAGGCTTATGATTTTAATGCACAGGCCCCAGATGGTTGCACTAGTTTGGGGCGTTCTGGACATTTACAGGACATTAGGCTAACCTGGAAGAGGTAGGTCCTAGAGGGTGGGTCCATGGAAATATATTATTCTTGGCCACTTACTGTTTTGGTCTCCTAGTTATAAAGTAAACATCTCTCTTCCACACAAGCTGCTGCTGTCATGATGTCCTGCCCAAACAGATGCGATCAAGAGACCATGGACTGAACCCTATACAATTATGAGTCAAATAAATTTCCTTCCTAAGTTGTTCCTGCCCGGCCTTTTGGTCACAGTGATGCAAAAGTAGCTAATACAACTTCCAGCGACATGTTATTTGAATTTTCCCTCCTTCCTTCATACTCATATGAAGGGTAGGGCTTAGCACCCGTGTTGGCCCAATAAGACATAGGAGAGTTTGTGGTAACTAAACCATTCAGAATTCTAAGGAAATTGTCTGGATCTCTACTGGCTTTGGATGGTGATTGGGAGCTCATCTCCATGAGCTAGAGGGCCAAGGTGGCCTTTGATGCATCTGTGTCTTAGGGGAGGTCACAGGAAGAAGGAAATGGCTCAAAAGAGGAGGAGGGTCATGCTTAATTCCACTTGCCCTGGGCAGTGTCCTGGTTTCTTCTGGATCTCCCTCTACCTCTGTGTCCTGTCATTGCTAGTAAGAATGACTCACTTTAGGGGTCAGAGCTCCATCCCTTTGTAAGAGCTCAAGAAATGCCCCATGTCATTCAGATTGTCTTTGCAGTAGTCTCCAGTGACAACGCTGACAGGTTCGGCTCTCATGCGACAGGAGGCCTATGGAGGTCTTGTAAGGGCCAATTTCTCATGTGATTACTGTCACATTCAACACCTCTCTCTTACTCATGTGGGTTTAGGATAGAGCCCCAGGGATACTGTCCCAGACAAAGCAATTTTCAGCCTCACCCCACCACATCCACCACATGTATGAACAATAAAAACTCTCAAAGGTCATCTTTACTGTGAAATTCTAAAATCATATTTATTCACCAATTCACAGAAGTGTCATAATGACCACCAACATGAATCAGTTTGTAGGCATTTACAAGCCAAGGTTGAAAATAAATATCTGTGTTGAATAGGCATTTAACAAATTACTCAGAAACTGCAAGAATTGAAATTGTTAGAAATTTAAAGTTTGTGATTCAAACATGGTAAGATCACAGGCATGGGAAGAACTCAACAGATTCCTGAATTGATTCTTATCGTCCTCCTAAATCTTTATGTACATGTACACACTCTCGACACCTCCATTCATCAGTTTAAATCACATATGGCAGCTCACTCAGGAAGACAGTACCAAGAAAAGGGGTGCGGAGGGGAGGGCTTTCTCTGATCCCATGTGGCCAGGCAACGTTGTTGACAGACAAGATGATGCTGTCTTCTGAAGTTAGATTCAATTTTCTATAAAGTCTTACATCCTTTTAGTAAGACAGTCCCAGGTTGGTATTGTACCACACTCATACACACACAGTAGCATAGTTATCAAATAAATACATGTTCTAGACTACAAAGATTTATTCTTGGAGGCAGCACAAAAGGTTCAGAAGTCTGCCGTGGACAAGTACACACTGACCAATCTGTGGAGTGAGACTGGTCCCTGGGGGAGACGGAGCTGACACTCACTGCCTAGTCCCGAGCAGGTAGAACATAGTTCTGTATGATGAGTCTGTGCCTCCTCTCTGCACAATGCATCTCCAGGGATTGGAGAAAGGAAGGGCCTGAGACTGGCTGGGCCTCAAACCTTTATATTTAGTCTCAGAATCACGCCTGAAGATGAGAAATTCAACAGCATTTACCAAGTACTTAGGGACTAGCAGAGACAACGGTGCAGTGGCAGACTCTACCCTGTGCAGATGGCATTATGGGTAAGTCACTATGTGCATCACTTTGTCGCTATTCCCTGTTGGAGAGCCAGATCCAATGTGATGTCTACAACTGACTGACTACTGCAGAGGTCTAGGAATTCACAGTTTTCTCTAGAAGGGGTATGGATAGCCTGTTTTTACGAGGCTCATTCAGTTTGGAGTTTAGTAATATACTGAGTCTCTACCAAGTAGGAACACTCTAAGTGCTTTGTACTTCATTTCCAAATGTTTACTAAACTCCCACTATATGTCAGACACTGTTCCCAAGGCTTTGAGAGTTCAACACAAATAACAATAAGAGAAATCTAAGGCTTCTGGGGAATTTAAATTTGTTGAGACTAATGACCTCTTTATTCTGTACCCTACTTCTGTATTATAGATATGTATATGACATACATACATACATATATACATACATACATACAATCAGCTGTTCTTCACAGAGTTATGTCTAGTGCTTTATATTTACTATTCTAATTTCCTAACTTAATGCCCACCAGATCATTCTGACTCTTTCTTATACTGTAATACCCATGCAATAAGATAACGAACCCAACTCTAATATCTACAGATTTCCTTGAGAACAGTCAACTTCTACGTAGTTTCTTCTCTCTGCTCTGTACCTGACTTTTTCTAATCCCCTGCCCTGCTTGTTCAGCTCAGGGCATCAACAGCTCTTTCTTGCAAGCAGGTCAGGTGAGTAGATTGATCTGTCATCCCCTTCAGTCTGCTCTGCCTTGGCCAGCAATTGCTGGGACTGCCTCTGGTCACATGACTCCCTTTACACATAATTCCTTTGACACATGACTATAACCTTCAGTACAAGGACCCTGGCTTCCTGGTTGTTCCTGTTGCTGCCACTTCCATTCAACTTCTCATTTGTTCTCCAACTGGGTTACCTCCTCTTTAATCTCTCTTCTCTTACTTTTCAACTCATTCACGTGAATGTGAAGTCTAACTTCCTTTCCACAAAAGCTTTTGCTCTACTTCTACCTTCTGGAATGTGACTGTGAAATTGAAAGACAGCAATCTTGACCACTGGGGCTCCTTTGCAGCATGGGTGGTGGGTGGTGGTGGGAGCATTCCCTGATGGCCAGGATGTTCAGATCTCCAAAGATGTTGTTGCACATTATACTCAGATCTGTGACACATGGATCCAAGTGAGCCTTCATTCCCAGATCCTAGTGGATCCTTCTAGGGGACGGGTGCCACCTCCTTGTCTTCTCCTGTCTCTTTCCCACTAGAGTGCTGAAGTCTGGACCTAAGAAATTGTGAGTTGATTCTCTGCTTTTGCAAATAGATGTAACGTCTGGGTTTATTGTTCAGACAGTGCTTTCTACTGGGAAAGAACCCTTGATATGTGTGTGTGTGTGTGTCCCATTTTTGTTCTGAAACACTCAGTATAAAGGGTCTAGCTATCTGAGGTGCATTTTTATTTCCAGATAAAAGCAAGCAGACATTAAAGCCAGCATGATTTTGTTGCCTATGATCAATGCACACCATCTGCATTCTGGTGCCTCTCAGGTCTGTTACCCCCTTTTCATTAGAGTATTGGGAATTGAGTTTTGTGGTGATGAATCTCCTCTGCAGTACATCTGATAAAAGGTACAGGAGAGGGCAAAGGTCATTAACAAATTAGGACTTGCTTTCCTCAGTCAAGATGATGCTATGACCCAGGGAGTGGAACAAGTAGGGCTCGTCAAAGTGCATCTACCCTTACTCCTTGTTTAGCAGGTCCTTCTAACAATCTTATCCAGGAAGAATCACTTTGCAAAGATCTGTCCTGTCAGCTTCCACTCAGGCAGCAGGAATACTGTCATCTGTTCATGGCCTTTTCTCTCCCACTCTAGACAGTTTTATAAAGGACCCCAACTTATACACTAAGACACATGGTGGAGGAGTCTTTCTCCATTACAGCATCTTAATTTTTCAAACCACAGACATTCTTTGAGGCCGAATGGTCTCTCAGATTGTATTCAATTCTTGTCAAGTCTATGCTGTGAGCCAGGTACAGTGTGTGGCACCCAGGGTCCTGGCATATACCAGTTTCTTTTGCCTTGGCGAGGTGCCAAGCAGAGGTGGGAAGAGTCGGGGATCTATACTGACTCCATACAGCCATGTTTTCTAGGGTTTCCAATACACTGGGGAAGGAGCTCTGTGGCTCTTCATTCAACTAGAAGTTTTCATGGAGCAGTGCCCTTCCCCAGGCTGTGCTATATCAATGGTGCAGAGATGCCAGCTTATATTTCTTGTCTGATGACCCTATCATATATTTTGTCGCTGCCCGGTCTTCCCAAGGATGGCCCTCTACTACCCACTCACCCTACCTGGTGTCCTAGCTGGATCTGATCTCCTGCCCATTAGAACAAACTGTCTCCTCGTCCTGAATGACCAAACCTGCAACTCGAGTAGGGCCCATCTTGCTTCCTAGCCTGCCTCTTCATCACTTTCTGTTTTGTCCCGTAGGAGACTTTTGTTATAAATGACCGGTGAAAGGGAAACACAGAGAATTTCCTTAGATTTTGGGAAACAAATGTGTCAGCAGGGAATTCACGCAAAGAGGCCAGGCTGGAAAGGAAACCTTTGTTACCTGGTTTCCTCGTGCTTTCGCACAGGGAAAACCTGTCGTGTCTTATTTCTACTTTTCTTTCTTGTTCTTTCTTTTCCTTCTATCCACTTTCTTTAAAAAGCAGATTCTATCTTCTTAGAGGTGATTATTCTCAATATGTTCTCTGCGCTGGCCTCAGGAGTTTAGGTGGATGTGAATCTAAAGACATTTTTCAAAGATGGGTTGGAAAAGTAGGGGTTCCCATTGGGGTGCTCAGGGGACTCAATGAGGAGTCTGTTGGTACAGATGTGTTTCTGAACAGAATAATGCCTGGGTTTGTGGGAACTCAAAAATAGTACTGGTTCTCCTGAGTCATGTTCCTCTTCTGTGCCCTGGACCTCTGGTCTTGACCTTGAGATCCTGACATGAGGATCAACTTGGACCACAGTTAGATGCAATAAAGCACATGGAGCTCCTCCTGAAGGCTTATGGAGCTTTTGTCATATGCTTACACCAGAAATCACTCATCAGTGAACCTCAGACTACTCAAGTGTCTGGTAGTCCTGGGAATGGACAGTGTTGGAATGTGGCACCTATATAGGCCTTAGACATGAGAGGGTTTAGATTCCCATTGTAGATAAAGCTGCAGGTGTATTTTTGGATTTTATTTTCTACTTTTAGTAACATGAGTCACTGCCCTTCCAAGAAAAGCAATCCATTCCCTATCCAATTTAGTGTTTGGATTGGCATGCCTGCCCCAGTCTCACTACAAATGAACAGCACTGCAGTAACCTGACAGAGTCCTTGGATGACCCTGTCCTTGGATGACTCTGCCAGGCTTGGGCTGCTCTGCCAGGATCATGCTGTGAGCACATCAATGTCTAGTGGTTTAGGGTCACCATTACAGTTTCACTGTTTCCGCATAAAATATGTCCCTAGGGGAGGCTGCTCGTTGAACAGTAACTCAACAGGCGAACTCCCTAGGGGTGAGTGCCCTCACTACACTCCTCCTGGGTGGTGTCTCTCACTAAAGTAGAAGGGACACATGGGAAAGAATCATCTCACACCCAAAGGGTGGGAAGGAATTGGAACTGGGGACAGGTTCCTTGAAATCATTGCTCAGGGAGTCTGAACCAGAACCCAGATGATCCTGGGGCCTGCCCTAGCTCTCTTGCCTTATCACACTAGAAACTGATTATTTATCTTGTTTGTTAGCAGTAGTTCCTCCAAATGCCAGCTTAAGCGGTCCTCTTCACCCTCCAGACCAGCGGTTCTTAAACCTTTGCCTGCCTCAGAATTAGACTGTCCATTAAAGCACAGCTTGCTGGACCCCACCTCCAGAGTTTCTGATTCAGCAGGTTCAAGTTGAGGCTTGAGAATTTGCCTGTCTCCCTGGTTCCCAGATGATGCTGGTGCTTCCCCTCCACATTAGAGCTCTGCAATAACGTGAAGCATAAACATCTGCAAAGCCTCCCAGAGTGCACCCTCCTTCACTTGTCAGATCTGATAAGGGGCCTCAGAAGAGCACCCCCTGCATCAGGTTGGCCAGGCCTTGGGCTTTGGCTAACAGCAGCTCCCCTACTTAAATCAGGGTTCCTAAGCTGTCTGATCTGCCTGCCTGCTGCTTATATTTAAGCACTTCTATCTGTCTTGGTTTCACCAAATCAGCCATCAGCAACATTATTTCCTGCTGGGGGGAGGGTGACTGGCTTTCCTATGTAAGTAAGCTGAGACGGATTTCAACATAACTAAGGAACATTTAGGGAAACGTTGCTCACTTCCCTAGAGATCTTCCGCCTGTTCAGCAAGATTCTCAGAGTCCCTGGGATCATACCTATAACATCTGACTTAAAGTAGGTGACTACAAAGCAAGTCATACTCCATCCCAGACTTCTGTCCCCAACAGTCCTGCTTGTGCACAGCCTCTAGCACTCCAAGAACAGGAGCTCCTTGTGGGCAAGGCCCTGTGTCATTCGTTCTTTCTTGCCCTGTTCCCCGGTTCAGGGCACACACATGGGTGCTAGGGAGGACTTGCTGATTTCATTGAACAGAGCTGCAGACGGAGATTCCTGTCTGCTTGCTGACTGCGCTCAGCAGCTCTCTGATTGCTTTCTGAGGTGCTAGTGGAAGCAACTTCCTTCTCTCTTTAGAACCATGTGACAAAGTCAAACTTGTCTCCTAATGCATAGCTCCTATAAAACCATATCTCCTTTTCCATCTAGTGTCAAAAGAAAGCTAAAGCAAGATATATGGAGAGGATCTAGACTAAATTTGTAAAGTAAAGCAAATACAGACAGGCAAATGGGGGTGCTGGGGTAGATGTCAGAGCTTTCACTGCTCATTTCCTTTGCCTACAGCTGGGCAACGGAGAGTGGTTACATGAAAATTAAACTATGCCAAGGGCCTTGGCTTGTCAGTCTCAATAAATTTCTGGGGCAGATAGAGAAGCCTGTGCCATCACAGCCTGCCAGAGTATATTGCAGGAGGCTGTGGGAATCCCCTAGAGGCAGGAAGATTATCTGATGTGAACATTATCCACTTTTCACTGGCCAATTCTTTCAAAGAATTAGACTTATTGTCTTAGACTCTTGAAAAGCCTCTTTGGTTAATTTCAATGAGATGATTAAGAAATGGTCCTCTTTTTCTTCTTGCTAATATTGAGTCATGGAGCCAAAAGGACTGCTAATTTTGAAGTGTGCTCGGTAGGGCTTTCTGCTGATTGTGTTGCTATTGATTCCAACAGTCACAAGTCCTTAGGATCATTTTTAGAGCAATGGCATGAGCAGAGCTGAAATGAAAATCAGTCTGAGATAATGAGCACTCGACTTAGAAATCGTTGTGGAATGAGCCGTGCTGGGAAGGTGCTAAGCCTGAGGAGTCAGCACTTGCCTCAGTGGAGTTAGTGCCCCAGGATCAGCCAACTCCCTGGGACCAAGGCATCCAACCCTTAGGAATATTTATCCGATTTGTCAATTCAAAACAAGTGACTTTTTGTTTGTCTTTTTTGTTGTTGTTGTTGTTGCTGTGTTTGCTCTCATGTCCCCTGAACTTTAATGAAAGACCCTAAAGTTTTCCTGCTGTTCTCGCTGAGGCAATAACCACCAGGAGGTGGTGGATGGGAGGGCTGATAGAACAGTTTGTTTTCTCCTGGGAAATGGAAGGCTGCTTTCTGTGCATCTAGGGAAAGAGCCTGCCCACCCAGGGATCTGCATGGTGGCTAGTTTTCTGTATGCCTTAAAGGCTGAAAAAAGCTCTCTCTAGTTGTAAGTGGTTGGAAGTGAAAAATCAAGAGTGAAACAAATCATGACATGAAGAGTCTATGAATTCACATCACCTGTTTTTACGGTAAGGGCTTTATTGGAAAGCAGATGAATAAACTGTGATGAAATGTTTCTTTGTTCACACATTGTCTGTGGCTGCTTTCATGCCATGAGGCCAAACAGCTTCCAAAGCCCTAAGTATTTCCTCTCTGGATCTTTCCAGATAAAGTTTTGCTGATCCCTGATACACAGGAAGGGAGGGTACTGTTTTCCAGCAGAAGTCTTCTTCTTAGAGAATCTGTGTCCCCAAGAGATTCCATGTCTCCTTGTTAACTGTAGAGATATTTGGTCTAAACCTTGCATGATAGAATTAGTTAATTCAAGAAAGTACTCATAGAAAGTAAAGCCCCTGAAGTCACATTTTTTTTGTATCTAGGTGTATTGGGGCCTCAGTCAGACTTACAGCATTTGGTTAAATCTATGAGAATATACTGAGTATTTTTTAAAGACACTTCTCCAACAAGTTTAATGGCTTTACTCCATCAAGGAAACTTATTCTGCACTGCTCTTTTCTGATCTCAGCCTCCTTTTTTCTCTTTCTCCCTGTCATCTTAGTCATGAGCCCATCTGTTTTCAAGCTCTGAATAGCAGACCCAGGTCATCCATTTGGGAAGATAAGCAATGGGCTAGTCTGTAACCAAACCAGACAGCTGCCCCTCCTGGGTCTGAGTCTCCCTCTGCTTGGCTGCTCATGACTGCATGAGAGGTCATGGCGTGCACAGGTCATCAGGGGGTTTTGGTTTACAAAATGCCAGCCTATGGGGACTGGAAAATGCCAGTCTGATTAGTATTTTGCATTCATGGTCAGAATATCTGGTGGGAGGCAAATTGCATTACCTACTACTCATCTGGATACCCACTGAAGCTTGTTATTTTATAAACATTCCCCTCTTGATCTCATCCAGGGTAATGAAGAGGGTGTTGGGAACAGGATAAAAGCCCAGTCATCCCATTCAGACACCTCAGCTTTCTGGCAAGCAGAGTGACCTCGTGTAGTGAAAGTGGAAGGAAAGGGGTCTGGTTTGCTATTGGTGTTTCTCCACAAATGAACCCAGTCACAAATGCCTCCTCAAATGACACATCTTTGCTGCCCTATCCAAATGCTACTTTGATCTGCTCCTCTTCTCACAACTCCCAACATAAAGGTCCTGTAATTCTCCAAACAGCCACCCCAACCACGAATAATGCAGCCACAAGAGGCAAACAGAGGGCATGAGAACAGCCTTACACCTAATCGAACTGAAAAACCAGAGTAGAGAAAAGTGCTCTCATAAACCCTAGACTTAAATATTTGCAATCAAAACCTCATTCAGAAAGGATTGGTTTTAAACATATAAAATGTTCCCTTTACTGCCATAATTTTGGGAGAATTCAGTAGCTCCTAAATGCCTGACTGAAGAATGTCTTTTTATTTAAATAATGAGATTTTGAAGCCTAACAAGTCCTACAGATTTTCCTCTTGTAAATGTGCAGACACAGCCTGACAGAAAGGGGGAATTTGATTGGGGTAATTCACAGAAGATGGGTCTATTTCCTTTCAATGAATATAAAATCTCAAGCTCCTTCCAAGAAGAGAAAATTTAGGGCACTGGTTGAGTTTGTGATCATGTCCCTCTTCTTCCTGTGGTTTCTGTCCTTTCCTCATCTTGCCTGTAAAATTCCATACCTATTTATGTCCCCCTGCAAGCCTCAAGTCCTCTGTGGAGAAAGGCCTATCTCACTCAACCTTATCCCTTTCCCACTGTTGCTGGTAGGGTGCTTAGCACATAGTAACTACTCACATGCATGTTAATATGAACATAAACAGAACGATGGGCCAGGGATGGAGGGTGGAGAGTCCAACCTTGTCTGTACCTGTGTATGACTCTGAGCACGATACTGACCCTCTGAGTCTCAATTACTCATCACAAAAATATGCCTAAAAACCGATGTCTGAAATATTTCACAGGGTTACTTGGAAGCTCATACTAGAGAAGGGACGCACAAAATACCCGAGGAGATGGAAAAATCAGCATAAGGTAGTTCTCTCCAGCCGAAAGGTTGCAAAGACCTGCCATGGATCCTCACTGCATGGAGGTCTGACTAGACTGGAGGACATCAGTCGTGACTTCCTGAGTGCTCTGTTTGAATGACAGGGACTACAAGGAACAGATGCTGAACTTTCAGTTGAAGCTGAATGTGACTAGGTACCAGCTATGCACACGGGTCAAGGCAATATGGGATGGGCTTGGGGAGGAGCGGGATGATGGGGATGGCCTGAACAGACTGGGGACGAAGAAGAGGTCAAGGCATTTGAAACAAACATGTCCTCAAAGCCTTGTAGAAGTCTTATAAAGGCCTAATTCTTGTCTACTATTCTCCAGGCCACAAAAGATCATCCACCCGTTACTATAGCAACAATTCTCTTCACAAAGTGCCCATGTTAGAATGGAGATGGTAAAGTCTTCCTTATTAAAATAAGACGAAAGAACAAGAAATTAGGGTTTTTGATATATTTGCCCTCTATTCAAAGCATTCCTCCTTTTATGAGGAGAAGAAAGAAGCAGCTGCTATTTCTGCAAATATGCTTCTAATTCCTAGCAGTTAAATTTCCAAACTTTCATCTCAGACTGGTAGAGCTAATGTTTGTTCTACTACATATGAGAAGAATGTTATTTCCTCAAGAGAAAATGGTGTGACATAAGAGATAAGGGATGACAGGCTAGGTGGTGAGAGCTTTGTCAACCTTGGGGCTGCCCTTGTCTGGAGGAGTTCAGCCACACCCACCATGTGGCGCAGCAGATTTGGGTCCACCACAAAGCCCTGCTGGGTCGCCCCATTAGCCCTTCCTTCTGCTCCTGGCAGCAGCCACACCACACTGTTCCCTGAGCAGTGCCTGTATGGAGCACTTCCTGGGCCCTGTGTTTCTATGTGGTGACAGTCCTGGGCAGGGCTGCCCTTAGGTTTAGGCATTCCCTGGGCAGGTTGGCATGCCAGCCAGCAGGCCCCACACTGGGGACAGGCTCTACTTATGATCAAGGACCAACACTTGATTTTGAATTTGTTATATAAGCTTATGTGTGTGGTCTCAGAAAGAAGCAAAGGGAAAGGCTCTCTGAGTTGGGGTGTGTGTGTGTGTGAGTATGCATGTGCACATACATATGTGTGGCCTTTCCTAGAAACTCAGTTCTGCCTCAACAAAGGCTTTTCTTTAGGTTGTCAGTCCAAAGATCTTAGGTGTGTGACGTTCCACTGCCTTCCATGTTTAAAGCAACCTGGAGAGTTAGCATGGGGAGGACATGCTGGTGTGGGTAGAAAAAGACCATGTAGATGTACACAGAGTGAGTTATAACCCAAGGGCCTTGAAAACACCGAGAGGAGGTGAGTGACCTAAAGTTGGAGCTTCTTCCCTACAGAAAGGAGCAAAGTGTTCAGAACTCTGCAGACTGGCTGACAGGATGCTGGATGAGCCCAGGACAGGGGGAGTGAGAACTACAGGACAATGCCCACCCTGAAGTCCCCACTGATGTTGACACTGGACTCTCGGAGCTGCCCCGTGGCTGGGACATAGGCAGTGCCCACAGCATAGAGGGCAGATTCTAGGAAGCTGGAGAAGGCCTTCCCAGACCTGTCATAGAAATCAGAGGTGAATGTGATAGACTCGGGCATACGTCAGGTCAGGCTTTACAAAAGGGGCACACGGGCTGGGCCGAAGACCTGCGGGCACTAGTAGGGGAGGGTGGTGTCATCCCACTCCAGCTGGGCTTGCCTGGTGCCACTCTGCCCGTGTCTGCCTCTACCCAGCCCTTCCTCCTCCTCCTCTTCACTGTCATCCGAGCCACTGCTGCTGGAGCTTATGTCTTCCTCTGCTTCCTCTTCTTCCTCTCCTTCAGTCTCATCTTCCCCATGTCCTGGTTCTTCATGCTTCTGGACATCAGGGAGAGAGGTGAAATAAACATCAGGGACTCAGCAGGCGCTGCACGGTACTTCTCTGCAGCAAATACTTAAGGCTCTTGGAATTCCCTCTTTTAAAGCTAAATCCCTGGCTCTGTCCAGAGAAAGAATCTCTGGAAAGGAGAGCTGGTAAAAAGGAAGTTGAACGGTTAGAAACAAGGGTCTGAAATAACAGTAAATCCCAAGACACAAAGGTAACTTGTTAGAGAAAATGATGGGATGAGCATCTAAACCAACACCATCATTTACCAAACCTTCTAGACCACTTAAACAGAGCTTTCCAGTTCTTAAATGTACCAAGGACAGAACCATGTTTAATCCTGGACACCTTTCCAAGTGGGAGCATAGCTGGCACTGGTGGGAATAGAAGAACTTCTAAGCCAACACTCAGGTGTGTTGTCATTCAAAACTATTCTTTCACAAAGGACAAAGGTCATACTCTCACTCTCCCTGCCTACCTCTTATGTCATGATTTGTGACCTAAAACTGCACCCTTTCCCTTTCCTCCCTTCTTCCAGCTTCTTGGTGATTCCAGCACAATCTTTTTTCTATATTTATGCTTTGTGGTTGCAAACCAGGTCATAAATGTGTCTTCTTGCTTGGTTACAACCTGTCTTTAGAATGTCTTCTCATCTACCTTTGCCTCCTCTAAATCATATCCATTCTGTAAAGCCTCTTACTGCAGCCTCCCACAAGGCTTGTTTCTTGAGTGCTCCAGCCACAAAGGGTCTACTTGAGCCCGAGTGAAAGCTGACATCACCAGGTCAGCCCTTGGGAGGCACATACTACCTGGTCCTCAGAGTGCTCTTGCTTCCCACACTTACAGTTCAGCCCTTTTAGGATGGAAATGATGATGTTCGCACAGTACAATGTTTAGCCTCATACCTGCATGATTAGAGAGACTGAGTTATGTTGGCATGATGGCTGTGAGATAAGAGCAGGGAATGAGCTGAGATTAAAACTGGGACCAGACCGCAATGATCTAACACATTCCCTATGACTCTTCCTGATTTTCCCTGCTTTCCTTACTTGTATCTTCCAGAATCAGCACCTGTGGGCAAAAGGCGTGATAGGCAGATGTCCAGAGCAGAGACCTTCCACATTCATTGTAATGGATAGCTTTAGTTATCAACTTGACACACCTGGGTAGAGGGAGTCTCAATTGGGGAATTGCCTCCTTTGGACTGGCCTATGGCCATGTCTGTGGGGCACCTTCTTGATTGTTGAGTGATGTGGGAGGGCCCAGCCCATTGTGGGTGGTGCCACCCCTGGGCAGGTGGGCCTGTGTTGCATAAGAAAGCAGGCTGAGCAGGGGCCAGGGAGCAAGCCAGTAAGCAGTGTTCCTCCATGGCCTGTGCTCCAGCTCCTGTCTCCAGGTTCCTGCCCTGAGTTCCTACCTTGGGCTCCCTGTTGAATTGTGACCTGGGAGATGTAAGCCAAATAAACCATTTCTTCCCCAAGTTGGTATTGGTTAGAATATTTTGTCATGGCATTTGAAGGCAGACTAGAACACTCATGGATGGCTTCTTAAAGGCTGTTAGACTAGTTTGGAATGGCAACAAACCTCAATGTTGGCTTAGAAGGCCTTCTTTTCCCAGGGAAACTCTCCCACTTGGAAAGGTGTCCAAGAAGGTTCTGTTCTTGGGACACAAGCACTTAAGAACTGGAAAGCTCTGTTTAAATGGTCTGAAGTAATCTTCAGGATCACAGAACTTTGAGACTTTGAAGCTGGTTCTGTGAATATGAGCATGTCACCATTCTTCTCTCATTTGGCTCCTACCTTGGTAAATGTGGGTGATAGTTCCAACTTCACAGGTTACTGGTATATATAGACCATCTGGTGCAGTGTCTGACATAAGGGGAGCTTATTAAATGGCAGATACTGCTCTTGTATTTTTGTTTTAACTATTCTCGGGCTTTAAGTGAGCTCTGCAAGCCATCTAGTTTGCACTGTTAACTAATCAAGAATTCAATACTGAATCCCTGAGTGTTAGTCAGCTCTGAACTGCAGTGGGCATGAGGACTAGACACTGAACAGCTGCTTACTTTGGTAACTTTCTGGTTCTGTTTGTGGGTTTAAAGAAATTCATGTATTTTTAATCATAGAATGCAGTCCATGAGGGCATATGGTCTGTTCGTGTTGATAGGGCTAAAGAAATTCAGAGATGGGAAGAATGAATGGAAATGGACTAGTAGACTAGGAGTCTTGATACATGTTTAGGCAGAGCGGGACCCAACCAGCTAGCAGGAGAAGCATGCCACCCAAACCCAGAGCCCAGTGGGGATCACCTCCATAGGGTTGACTGTGATAGTCAGTGCAGAGTCATCCCAGTCCATCTCGGCCTCTTTGGCAGCCTCAGTCTCCTGGATGAAGTGCTGGTGAGCAATTCGGACTCGGTACACTCCCATGGCCACAACAAACACTAGCATACACACAGAGATGATGATGACCACTGTGGCAATGCTTGGGACCACTGGAATGAAGAAGGAATCCATATAACATGATGAACAAAGGTCTAGTGTTCATTCTTCTGATAAATGAAACATCTATGTTCAGAATAAAATCTGCTCCCCCAGTTCCCAACAGTAGCACTCTGGGTCCGTACCTTGCTTTGTCTTGGATGCACTTTTATCAACTGTGTATCAGATATAGTACATACTATGCTATGGTAATTGTGAGGAGAAAGGGAAATAATCTATGTGAGCTTCTATGTAGGCACAGGGTAGGCATTCAATAAATGGAAATTCTCTTCTATTCTAGGCTTTTCTCTTCAAATTATAGGGGACCTGCCACTGAGAGCCAGAAACTGTAAAGTCTAGCAGAAACACACGTGTCAACAGATGGTGACACAATATGGCAAGTGCTAAAAGTTTGTCTGTGGTTTGTGTGTATGTAAGGAGTTCACGGAAAGCGTTGTACAGCACATGCCTTTGAAGTAGGCACAAAAGAACTAGCGTCATTTTCCCTCAGCTCTTTGTAACAACCTTTGTCATTATGGACTGTGCAAAACAGTTGTAGTTGACTGACTCCTCGTTGAAACCATGCGAGGTTTCCCTTCCTCAGCTCTGAGAACTTTGGGGTGCTACAACATAACTGTTGAGCGGATGATCTTGAATCAGTGTCCTGAGTTGGCTCCTTCGAGGTGTCTTACCTGAACTGCGCTGGATGCTACTCCGGGACTCAGGGTGATGGACAGATTGGAGGAAGGGAGGCTGCACGATCAGGTGGTTGACGTGCTCTTTGTCTGGGACTCTGACTTCATGGAGGACACTGACCTGGAAAGAACAAGGGGAGGTGTTGTTGACCAGGCAGGTAGGCTAGTTGTAATCATTCTCTGAATGAATGAGGTAATGAACAGGTGGGTCAGACTTTCCCTAACAGGATCCACTCACCTCCAAGTTGAACTCATTGCTGGTGTAGCGCCCATTGAGTTCTGAGCATTTGATCCGGAATTTCCGGGTCTCAAGGGAAGTTGGATGCCAGTTGCGGTAATGAAGGTGATGCAGCACCTGCTCGTAGCGGCTCATGGAGCCCACACCTGCACCAAGAGACCACACCTGCTGTCAGAAGAGGGGAAGGAACTGCAGACACATGACACACTCTGGGGCTATTGGACTTGTGCTCTTGTGAACTAAGGGTAGAAAGTCAGAATTTTTATGACTAGATAATGAGCTGAAGCAGAAATTCCCAAGAGCCAATTAAACTAATTCAAAGAATTTCCATGTAGACTGGTCTCTGATTGGAGTGTTTGGCCTCAGTCTTCCAAACAGGGCTGAGACATTTTCTGGGACCAAACATTGTAAGTGAAGTGACCCCTCCCCCCCAGTTCTATACATTCCCTGGGAGTGAGGATAGGAGACAGCATCTAAGAGGCTAGAGCCACTCTGCAAAGGAGAGCCAAGAAACATATACATTTCCATCTGACCCCCGGGGCTTTGCAGTGCACCACTCTAGCTGCTATCACACTCAGGACTCCCTAGACAAGGCTTCTTTTGAGAGGACACCACTGAACAGAGGGCACCACTGAGTGTGGAATCTTACCATAGATGGAGTAGCCTGCAGTAGAGTTAGTGGCATCCAGGTGTCGTTGGTGGAGCTCACTGTGGTTGAGCTCCAAGCACTCATGTCTTGGGTCCAAGTCACCTCCAAGAACCAAAATGTCACAGAAATCCAAGTTGTGGAGCATTTCTTCCAAGACTGCTGACTTTGGGGCTATGGGAAACACAGGCATGAGGAACTTTGTTCTTTACCCCTTCCTCTGTTACTGCGCCATGTTGCCTTAGGTCAGGCGAAGGGGCTGAGCAGCATGCCTACTGCTCAGACCTCTGGCCAGGTCCAGGCAGGTGGCACAAATGAGTGGGGGGGAGAAGGTGAGCATCACAGAACTCACTCTGCAACTGAGAAGCTGTGAGATGTGAGAGAAACTACATACCACTCCGTTTCCACATCTGTGGAGACAGATTAAAAGCCATAGCTCAGATCTGGGGAGAGCTAAGTGTGTCTCCACCATGTTCCTGTAGCTTTCTCCATGTGGTGTGTGTGTGTGTGTGTGTGTGTGTGTGTCTGTCTGTCTGTCTGTCTGTCTGTCTGTTTCTACCAGGCTCAGAGGATCTCAAGGGCGGAAGTATGTGAGTGAATCCTTACAGTCTGGCACAAGAGCTGCCATGGAGCAGTTTTTACTACACTTTGCTCAAATGGAGCTGGATCATTCATTAATCACCAATGAAGCCAACACAATATAACCAAAAGTTAGTTAATAATTGATACGTTAGGGTAAATTAATTAGTTCATGTGCTCACAGGGGAGCACATTAACAAGCTGGTCATTCTAGTGGTCTTTGCCTGATTTTATGACTAAATTTCTCAAAGGAATATCTATGTATTGGAGTGCAAACAATCTGGCAGTCCTACATGAAAAATCCGATTTTAAGGCAAAGATTATTGCTATTTATGGCATGTGAAATGTGTGGAAACATGCTGCAAACTTAATTCTAAGTGACACTCTTATCCTGCCCACCTCACAAATGGGGAAATGGTCACACAGAGTAAGGGGAGGCATGAGATAGAACACATGCTGTCCACTGTTTGGAAACTTGTAAACTCTAGGCTCATGTTTTCAATATGTTCTTGATATTTCTGATAATTGGAATTTTCCAAAAAGGGATTCACTGAGGACAAGATCATTATTTTTAAATTATTTTAACTTTTTAGTGGTACTGAAAATGGTTTTGCTCTCATTAGCTATATAGTATTATAGTTTCTGTATGATTAATTGTTAACTGACAACCACAATGGTTCCAAGTATAATTAACGAGACCTAAAAGCACACACAACAATACTAATGCTAAGGTTGATTGTTAAGAGCCTTGAACTCACAGAGACCCACCTACCACTGCCTCCCAAGTGCTGGGATTAAAGGCATGCATCACCACATCTGGCTTATGAATATATTATTTCCAATGGCTTCCATGTGTTTGCCAGCTTCCTGTCAGGTCACCTAGGTCACCCTACCTGTTTTTGTTCCTTTCTCCTTATGTGGCTGCCAGAATTACTCAGGCAGGGGGCGTGTCCTGGTTCTCATCCTACAGCTCTCTCCTTAAGGCGCTATCCTCCATCCCCACTTTCCTGGATCCATTGGATCCGGAAGTTGAAAGGCTGCTGGGTTAGGAGCCCAGAGGGAAATTAGTTGTGGCTGAGCCATCCAGGATCTCCTGCTATGGTTTAATGGATACATAACCACCACCAAGGGCTTAAAACTATTATGATCTGGAGGGAAGCACCAGCAGGTGGTGTAGACAAACCTAGCCTGGCGGTGAGGGTGGTAGTTGGCAGAACCTTCTGCAGGTACTGTTGAATGAAGAGATATTTGCAAACAAACAAATATTTTTGGAGGTGGGAGGGAGAGGGTCACAAAAAATAAACTAGCACACCACACAGCTGTGAGAACAAGTGTGTGTGTATTGAGTGTGTGTATGTGTGCTTCTGCATAAATATGGGTAAGTGTGAGTGTATGTGTGCATGTGTCAGTGGGGGGCAGAAGATGACCCTGGAGTTAAGTCACTGTGGCCTGGTGGCAAATGCAGTTAGCCTGCTTGTTTAAGACACTCATAAAATGACGATCCCAGCTATAAATGTAGAAATTGAAAGTACTAATAATAGCTCTGGGCACTGGGCTCTGTGCTCTGTACGCACCTCTCATAAATAGAAGGTGAAATGTGACTCCAGTTAGCTGCTTTTCCCTACATCACCTATATGCAAGTGTCAGATACAGCAAAGCTTGGTGCTTGTGGGCTGTGGCCACTGACGTCAGCCGGCCTTCCTTTTCCAGTCCGATTTTAGCCAGAAATGAGGATAACGAAAAAAGAAAGATCACGTGACTTAATGTACCTTGGCATGTAATGCAGAAATCACCCTGCCTGACCAGGTATGAAACACCAACTATTTTTAGGCAGTCAGGAGGGACGGCCCCAGAGCACCTAATCACTGGGAACCAGTGGTTTAAGGCAGTAGGTAATTAGGATCATTACAGAAGAAGCTCTTTAGGGACTCAGGCCCACTGGTGCCAACGCATCATTAGGGAGAGGTGAGATGTGTTCTTGGAAGAGGCATCAGAGGACAACTCTCAAATGAGCATTTCTCTGTGAAGCTGAGCCCCTCTGAGTTGCAAAAGGAAGGTTCCCTCCCTTTCTCCCTCCTCCCTTTCTCCCTCCTCCCTTTCTCCCTTCTTTCCTCCCTCTTGCCTTGTTCCCTGTCTCTTCCCCCAGCAGATGTGACTGCTTTCACTGTAGCTGGGTGTTTCTCTCTGGCTTAGAACTCCCCTTTTCCTGAGCAACCCTTCTAATAATGAAACTGGTGGGATAACAACCTGAGCATTTCCTGAGCGCTCAGAGTCATATTGCTGAGTGTGACCCTGCTTTCTGTTGTGTATGTTAATGTCAAGCTGGATTCTATTCTTTCAATACCTTTTGCTTTTCTTCTAATGATAAGAATAATACATGACCACTATTGCAGTTACAAAAAGCGGACACTGCTGTTGGCATTAGGCATCTTTCCTTTTGGGTGTCTTCCTTCCAACATGGCTGAGATCATGCTATGTGGGTACTACATAAGTTTACATCCTGCTTCTGTACACTTACCACCTAGCACAAATGTCTTCCCTCTAGCCTGCTGTCACCTACATGGTGGGTGTGCCATGCTTTGCTAAGCCATCCATGCCCCTCCTGCTGATTACTGGAATGTTTCCAGTTTTGTCTGATCTTTATAGATTACCCTACTGCCATGATGAACAGTACTGTTGTGCTGGAGTACCATTTTAGTTACTTGCATAAAGTTAACGCCCACCTTCCCCATGTCCCACATTCACCTGTGCCTGTGGTTCTCCTGTCCCCAGAAGCCTCAGCTTTGGCAAAGGTGCTCACGATTTTGATGTCCGGGAAGAGAGTCACCCCTCTGGCACTTTCAAACTGACTAGCAGGTCTCCAGAAGCGTTCTGTACCCTGGAGGGTGATCTGGGGCTCAATGGCCTGCAGGACCATCACATAGGCATCCACATCTGGGATGCTGATGCACACATCTTCCCCAAAGCACCTAGGAAGACAGATGCAGTCACAGTTCTGTTCAGCTGATGATTTAAAACACCCATCCCAGAGCCATGGGCTGCCACCTCTAGCCCTTGTCAAGGCATCCTGACTGTTAAGAGTCTCCGAGGATATCAACAGACTGTCACATTTAAAGTCACATTACCATGGCTTCTGGGAGGAATGAGAATTTTCTATGCAAGCAACAAGTAACTGTTAAAGCTTTCATTATCCTTTAACAATCAATGACAACATTAATTAGATAGCAACTGCTTGCTTATGTGCACTAGTATTTGGTAAGCAAATTGTTGTCTAACTGGTTGGTTGTAGCCATCTTACTAAACGAGACCCCAGGGCTAAACTCTCCTGCACAGTGTTTATGTTGTATCTCTATAGGGATATCACAGGCGTGTGCCTGTTTTAGGGGTGGGGAGAAGAGGACTGCAGTGGTTACACTACTTTCTCCTGGTGCACTGTCACATGAGTGTATGGGAGGCAGTAATGATGTGACAAGAGGTGAATCTGGGCAGTGCAATAGACAGGGATCCATGCCCAACTTGGCACTCCTGGTTGGGTATTCCACTGCTCTGAACCTCAGCTTCTTATCTGTACAATGGGGAGAGCAAAGATTACGCTGCATTAGTAAGGATCAAGTACAGAATAAGGATCAAATATAGAAGACTCGAGGAAAGCTGCTGTCCAGAGCCTGAATCATGCATGGCTTGAGTTCAATCAAGTCTGAGCTTTCTCTTTGGACCTCACTGGGGCATGCAAATCATTGATACGCTCCATTGTCATTGAGGCCTAAGACTTGGGCAAACCTGGTGAGCCTTGGGCCAGATGGGTACTCTAGGAATGCTGGCTGGGTCCTTGAGGAGGCAGCCATTATCTTGTATAGTTGGGAAAGTCCCTGAAGGAAGAGGGAAGGGCAATTTGTGTAGATCTTTTGTGGAGCCTTTCCATCTCTTCTGTGGGGTAAGTGAGATGCTGAGCTATGGGAGTGGTGGCAGGTCCCCATCCCAGCCTCCTTGTCGCCTCTCTCATGACCGTCCGAATGTGCACCACCTGCTTGCAGTTTATAGAAGGCAGAGTTCAATATGGGAGTGGTGGCAGGTCCCCATCCCAGCCTCCTTGCCACCTCTCTCCTGACCGTCCGAATGTGCACCACCTGCTTGCAGTTTATAGAAGGCAGAGTTCAGTGCTGATGAAGCCCCTGGCCAGTCTCTCTCTTTCTTGCTCCAATGTGGAGCTGACTCACAGGTGCCTACACCTTAACCTCAGACCTCTGGGGGTAGAAACACTTTTTGTTACTCTATTGAGTGTTACTGCTCCTGAGAGCATCTCTTCCAGGTTCCAGAAATGGAGTAATCAGCAGACCCATTCTCCCCATTCCTTTCTTCTGAGTTCTTCTATTTGAGTTGCGGTGACCTCACTTCAACCCTCTGGGACTCTCTCTGGAGTCTCCTTTCCTAGCGGACATCTCAGGCAACTGTCTGGAAAAGGATTTGTCAGGTCTATAAGTGAGCTATTCAAAATTTTGGCAATAATTTCATTCTATTAATTTAACTCCAATCCCTGGGGACAAGAATGATGCCCTCTTTCCCTGACTTGCCTACAGAATTTAGGAATTCTACAAAGCAAGGTTGGCTAATTTAATTGAATTTAATAAACATTTGTTAAGCACCTACCATGTACCAAGTGGTGTGGCCTTAAATCAGAACATTAAAAGCCAAGTTTTTAGAGAATTTATAGAAACCAGAACTTTCCAGACATCAGATTAGATACAGAATAAAATAGAACAAGGTGGATTTGAATTTCAATACAACATAACATTTCCCTCTAGAACCGGTCAAATGCAGAGAATACATGTCTGTGAGATGCTTAACCCTAAAAGATACATCTTCAATGCAACCTCTACATAAAGGATGAATGCAACTGTCAGCTCTCACCAGAAAAGTTCCCTTATGCAGCAGATGGTGATTAACACAGAAACCCACAACTGGTGAATGTGCAAAGAACAAGAGACCACAGGGTGCTTAACCCTGAATAGGACACCTAGTTCAAACCTCTGCCTCTCAAGGATCATTGTGGAAGAGGAGGCAGAAAGATTGTAAGATCCAGAACCACAAGGAAACAGAGCCTTCCAGACAGCTGGTCAGCTACTCACATGAAGCACAGCAATGGTGATGGCATGCACAAGTCCTATGCAAGCCCAAACAAGACATGGCATAGACATGGGGAAATGGGTAATAAACCTTAACCCAACCTAAGGAACTTTTGGCAACTGATGGCTGCTAGGAGGGGGAAAGACAGTGTCTTACAGGGATGGGACTCTTGGAGGGACCAGTGGATGAACCCACACTGAAGGACAACTAGGAACATAAATCAGAATCTATAGGCCATATTATATATATACAAGAAGCGTACATTAAATTGGGTGTGTGTGCAGAGTGCGGGAGGTGTGGCTAGAGGAGGGGATCTAAATACCATCAAAGTATATTGCATAGAATCACAAAAATTAATTTTTATAAAAAGAAAAAACAACACAAATCATCGTAACAGCTTCCCAGGGTTAGCAGAAGACAAGGGGGTCAGGCAAGCTCTATTTGGAAAGGAACGTTTCTAAAGGACCATCGCTGTGGCCTCAGCTGGGCCCTAGGCTGATCGGAGCTCACTCACTGGACTTTGGAGGATAGTCTGAGACGCCGGACACCCGCTGTCGGGAACTGCCTGGAGTTGATGTAGGAGACCTTCCGTAGGGCTTTGTTGATGTTCCCAATGTCATCACCTTCCATCACCAGGACAGACTGTGAGGGGTTGAAGTGATACTGGAAAATAGAAGTGGGCATTACAGGAAAGAAAGGCCAGTATTAGAAATGGTCTCCTGGAAATGCTCCAGCTCCACAAAGTCACCTTCAGAACATCTGTGAGTACATCAGTTGTGTATACACATGATAGTTATCACTGCTCTAGCAATCTGTGTTACATTCTCCTGAACTTTGGGACCCTCCCTGGGAGTTTTCACCAAGGAGTAGAAACTCCTGGTAATAGCAGCCTGTACCACTGATGGAATTCTGAACTCCCAGTCACAATGCTCCTGGAAAGAGTTTTTTTATTTTTTTTAACACTTAAAGTTGTCTTTTGTTGACAATGCCATGATAGATATCCTCATACACATAACACTTATGAGGCACAAATATATCTGGAGAACAAATCCCTACAAGGGAAATGCACTTTGAACTTGGGTGGGTGCTAGTAAATTCCTGATCACCAGGACTGTCAGCACATACTCCTTCTAGTGGGGTGCGAGTGCCTCTTCCCTAACCCCAGCCACAGAGTATTCTGTTAGTCTTTGGGAATTATGACATGCTAGGGTATTTTTAATTCATATTTCTCTTATCATAAGGGGGACTGAGTAATTTTTTCATAGGTTTAGGGAAAAAAGAAACCTTTCTATATTTATTTTGCCCTGATCTGTCTCGAATGTCTTCCTAGGGTTCCCTTTTCTGTATTGGGAGATGGATGAGCTACTGTTGGTGACATGGAACTGCTTGAGTCCCTTGCATGGCGGCCCTAGCCCAATGATGGCCTCTCTTTGTTCTCTTTAAGTATCATGTGAGTGTTTCATTGCTGCCTACTCCTTGAGGCACCCAACTTTCCTTATGTAGTTCCTCCTGGGCTTGTGTGATTTCCCTCCGTGGTACATACAAAACAGCAAGCAGTATGATTATGTGGCACAATGATGAGGGCTTTTCTTACTGAGCATAGGAACCTGACTGATCCCTTGATCCCAGAACCCAGCCCTAGTGATCTGAAACCCCCTGTCAGATGGATACGTGAATGGTCCTCCAGCTTCCACGGAGCACCATCTTTCAGTCCTCAAAGGACCTCCTTCTAATCACATGGCTTTACAGCAGAGCTCATTATCAGAGTACCAAACCCTGCTTTCCTTCCCTTCCTTGGCACCACAGAGGTGACACTTCCTACCTCCCCTGTGCTATGTGTTCCAGGACCATGTGACCACACCTGGCCAATGCACACAAAGGAAAGTAAGGTACGACTGTAGCTTCTACACTGGAGCTCCACTGTAGTGGAAGAGAATACCCCTTTTGTTTTTGTTCTTCTTGAACTCTCCATGTAGATCAGACTGACCTGATCTCAGTCTCACAGAGTTCCACCTACTTCTGCCGCCTTCATGATGGAATTAATGGTGTGCACCAACAGTTTGTGCAATAATTTTTAACATGTCTGTATTTTGCCTTAAACCTGTGACATGAGATTAGCTGTGAAATTTTCCACATGCACAAACATATCAGTACTTGAGAAGTTTTAAATTTTGGATTATTTTTATATTTTTAGATTAGGATAGTTCAACCTACATAGTTCCTAGCATTTACAAAGTGTTTAACATATGAAAGCATGGATTATAATCGCTAATACTCTAGTAAATCCATCTGTGCTGAGTCTTTGTGGTGGAGTTGCTTTGCCTTCTGGCCTTTCCTTCCCTGTGGTCTAACTCCTTCCTGTCCCTCAAAGCCCTGGGTGGGGGCTCTCTGAACCAAGACCTCTGTCCATGAGCATGTGTCCCGGACATGTGAGTCATATTCAGCTTCTGGGCTGGTGTGACTCTATCCGGGGCCACCACACACTGGTGGGTCACAATTATCTCTGAGACATTGCAAACCACATATTTTGGAGTTGAGAAGATTTAAGACCAAACTCCTAAAGATGCTACTTTGGTCATGACGAGTTTCTGACTCTTACCTCCTTCTGCTTCTGACACCATTACTTCTGTAGGGGAGTCCTGTGGTGCTGTTGTTATCTATCTAGACAAATAAAAACATCTGTATCCTCCAAAGTCTGTGAGTATCTCAAGGTTAGAGCTTACTGAGTTTCCCTCAGCTTTGCCATGGGGTCTAGGGTATCAGTAGAATGAGATAGATGGTGAGCCCTTCAGAGCAGGTTGAGCTCTGGGCCTCTCACTGAGGGTTAAGCAGGGAGATCACAGGCTCTTCCAGAGGGTTAGCCTGGTAACAGTTCAGGTCAGTGAGCAGAGCATGCCTATCCCCTGAAGCCTCCTGGAAAAAGCAAAGCCTAATGGATGTGCTGGGTTTCCAGTTAACACCTCAACTCTGGTCCCCAGTATATCCTTCTAATCACAGGGAATGAAGATGGGTCCTGGCCCAGCCATCAACACAGTTCTTGAGGGATCAATAAACATCTCCAGAGTAGGTTCTTGTATTTTCTTAGGTACGGTATTCCATGCTCTGGTAATGAGCCTGTGGTTATGCAGGACACATGTTGGTTTGGCATCACCACAGGAGTAAGGGTATTCACAGTTCCTTGGAAATCTGTGCTATGGCTATAGTGAGCCAAGAACACACTAGCCTTGCAGAATGGTCACCTCTCCTAGAGACTCAGCTGGTTTCCTTAGTTCTCCTGCAGGCGAGATTAGCAGTGAAGTCCCTGCCCCAAACCTGGGTGCCCTTTCCCTGTTCCTAAGCAACGGGCTGGCCATGGCTCTCTAGCTGCCTTTCCATTCTCTGGACAGCTGTCATCTGCCAGCCTTTTTGACTTGCACCACTTGAAAACTTGCCACTTATGAGTCTCCTGGGCCGGTGAGATCAATCAGTAGGTAAGGATGCTTGCCACTAAGCCTGATAACCTCATTTCCATTCCCAAGACTCACAAGGTGGAAGGAAAGAGCAGACTCTTGAAAGTTGTCTTCTGACCTTCACGTGTACACAGTAGCACATGTACCCCCAGCCAAATATGTAGATAGACAGATTATAGATAGATAGATGATAGATAGATAGATGACAGATGATAGATGATGATAGATAGATAATAGATAGATAGATAGATAGATGATAGATAGATAGATAGATAGATAGATAGATAGATAGATGACAGATGATAGATGATGATAGATGATAGATAGATAGAGAGACAGATAGATAGATGATAGATAGATAGATAGATGATAGATAGATAGATTATAGATAGATAGATAGATGATAGATAATAGATGATAGATAGATAGATAGATGATAGTCAGTAGTCAGTATAGATGATAGATAGATGATAGATAGATAGATAGATAGATAGATAGATAGATAGATAGATAGATGATAGATAGATAGATAGATATGTCTAATATCAAATTAACAAAATAAAAAGGTCTCCTAGGCCACAAAAGGACCTGTGATTTGTTGAGAGCCCATTGGGTTTAGCTGGAGGGATGAATATCAATATGTACTAAATTCATAAGCTGCTACAATGTATATAATATCAAACCCATTTTATACATAGGGATTGGGGATCCAGAGGTTAATATATACTGCCCCAGGTGGCCAAGGTTGTAGATAATAAATAATTGCTCATTCCTGCTCTCCCACACTATGAAGATGATGATGGTAGAGATTATACAGTGAAAATCAGAACAGGATATGCTTCAAAAATGTGGTAGTTTCCCAGTAGCTTGCATAGGTGCAAGGCCAGAGCCACCACAATCCAGTAAAGACTGAGATACACTGGAAAGATGTCCCCAAATACACACAATCCACAGGATTACGAGTGGGGAAGGAGCCGGTGCTAGGCCCTATGTGGAGAGGGAGTTCCTTCATCAAGAGCAAGCTTTGCTTCTTTCTATCAGTCAGAGAAACATAAGGAGGCCATTCACTGGCAAGTAAAATAATAGTCATCATTCAGAAGTGACATGAGGGAGAAATGCAGGGAGGGAAGGAAGTTAGCTTTAATAATGGTCAAGAATACCTTTTAATCAGAGTTGCTGGTGTGGAGAAAAGAGTGTGGATTTATTTTGGACAGGTCCCTGAGCCCTTGCTTTGGAAATGAGGTCATAATATTTAATTTGTTTTGAGGAGTATAGATAATGAACATAAACTAGGCCCCAGTGGGTGCTCTGCAAATTGTGTGTCTTATTAACTTCTCTCACAGACCTCGAGTTCTCACAAGCCATGCCTTAGGGATGGAGAAGGATCATTTGCAGTGACTTGAGTATGAACAGGTGGGATGCGAAGAAACCTCCCCCTGGACCCCTTCATTTGTGTGCCACTATCTTAGCACCTTTTCTTCCCACAGGCTGTGACTACTCTGTAGAAATTGCCAGGAGACAGAGGGTAGGCTGTCCTGACTTTCAGAAAAGACCTGAGGGTCTGTAATCATTCAGCATGGCCTGTGATGAAGCTGACCCTCATCTTTACTCAGCACCTAGGAGCCCAGGACTTGTAGGAGCTTCTTGTATTAGGTGTGGCCAGAAAGTAACCCTTTCTGTCAGAGAAGCTTGCTGTGGGGATACTAGCCCCACCTGCCCTGCCTCCCTGTAAGATGCTTTCTTCAGAACACAGCTCTGATTCTCCTGGATTACTTGAATATTTTTGTTTCACTCAGACAATAAAAAAATCATAAATCTCTTCACATTCCTCCTGACTTCCAGAGATTGCTTGGAGGGGGAACTGGCTTCACCTGAACAACGTAAGACCCCGTAGTTCCCATATCTGCTTTCTAACTCCTCCTCACTCCTGGCTTCCCTTTCTTTCTCATTTGTACGTTGGAGTCCTGCATTTTTGTTTATTTTTATGTTTTTGAAATGTATTCTTGCATGCTGCTTTAGTGCCTTCAGGCAAATGAACAGCAGAGCAACAAACCAACCTACAGATAAGAAGTTTAACAGCTTCCCCCAGGCAGACTTGGAGTGGGTAGACTGTGTACTCACAAGGACTTGATCTAGGAGTTTCAGGAGTCGACAACAGAAGCCCATTCTGAAAGTCACAGTCACTAACTGGCCCCTGTGGCAGCACTTCGGTGCAGCTTTATCAGAAACGACTATTTCTTGGCGTGCTCGGATGCTGGGAAGCCTCAGACTCATAAATCAGGGTCTTACCAGGTGTAGACCAGTGTCATCCTTACCTTTACTCCTTGCCCGAGGCTTTCCAAGGAATTAATATCCAGACCTTCTTTGCAGGCCTGCAGACAGGAAATCACTTTCTGACTTTCCATTTTTCCAGGACGGATGGTGAGACTGGCCAGGCTGCCGTGGAAGAATTGTGCAAACCGTGGTTTGGCAACTTCTCCTCCTGTAAGAAAAAGGAACACTGTAGACTGGATAAGAGCCACCACCTGAGGTGCTAGTCGCCCATGGAGCCGAGGTCACACTGACAATGTGTCTATTAAGTCTGAGGTATAAAAACAAGCTAATGAGTGTTTGTGTGTACACACACTGAACACCTTGGGAGCTCTAGTCTACTACCATCCTCATTCAAGTTCATGTTGCAGTTTCATCAGGAGCCAGTTCCTCCCATCTTGTCCCTGGTCTGCAGGTCAGCCACCTTTGAGGTCCACTTTCAGCCCACTTTATGGAGACACCCTTTCCTGTGTCTTGGCTAAGTACAACCCCTACATCTCAGGACAGACCACACAGACAGACCTAGCCTGGACCTTGGTTGACTTTATGTCCAGAGAGTAAGCAGAACGTGGAGCGTAGATGGATCTGGACTGAATGCCAGTCTCACAGGTTCATGGGAAGGGTTTTGAAAGCTATTTGAGCCTCCGCAGCTCACAGGGCACACTTCTGGGTTCTGTCTCCCGGTTCTAGTAGGCTGTTTCAGCTCAGCTCCTCACACACAACGCTTCTGTGCTCCATGATGCCTGAGGAGTGCTCCAGGGAGACATGCCAGTGAATGGCTTTCCTAGCTCCCCAGAGGATATGTTTCCAACAAGTAGCACCATGGTACTCTCCCTGCTATTTGGTGATCTAGGCTGTGCCAACAAAGCCTTATGGGTAGTGGATGTTCCTTATGTCCATGATTTCCATGTTCTTTTGTGTTCAGTACGTCTCAGTAATTCCCTGTTAATCCATTTCTTTATGATTTCCTACTGAAGTTTCCGAGGCTCTTCCTGTTCAATTACTCCTGCTGACTTGCTGGTTCTTTCTCTTGGTTAGATCTAGCCTGACCTAGGCTTGCACACATATTTTGGATCATACTTGTTTTGTTCTTCTTCACACATGCTCTCCCCCCACCTAGTCCTCCCTGGTGTTCACATTAGGCAAATCTCACAATTTCATGGTGTCTTAGACTCTATCCCTATTCCTGTGCCTCTGCTTCTGATTCTCTTTCCCTGCCTCAAACCCACTGTGCTCCAAGTTTAGGGCCTTGGACACGGTTGGTTTTATTGTAGCCCCCGCCCACCCCCCGCACCTGTCATTGCTGGTGAACAGTTTACATGCATATGTGTTGTCCTCAGTAGCCTAAAATTGTTATTCACAACCTTGGCTATACATTTTAATCAGCTGGGAATCTTTAAAAAGATAAACCCATACCTGGTAGTTGGTCTACTCCCCGAGGGATTTGATTTAATTGGTTTGGGGAGTTTTAAACCCTTCTCAGGTAAAGCAAATGCGAAGTCAAGGTTAAGAACCAGTGAGCTGTGCGTTTCTCCAGATCCTTATGTGATCTCTCTCCTTGATGCCACCCACAGGCCTGCTCTTTGCACATTGCTATAATTTATTAGTTTAAGTCTCTCTCCTGGATAGCAAGGATCACTCATGCATTATTCATTTTAATGAAGACAATACTGAGTAAGTATTAGGGGCTGAGGGCTGCACCAGACACTGCGCATAAGTTGGCTCATTTATTCTTCTCAAGAACACTTGGCCTCCTGGCATTCCGCACTCTGCCTGGCACACAGCAGACACTTATAATTGATTGCTGAATTGAAGAGATAGTGAGCTGAATGCCAGCAGTACTGAGTTTGTCTGTGTCTCTTTCCCTCTTTCTAAGGCAGCCCTGAGGCTTTGGCCATGGCCACAATCTCTAGTGACAGCCCCATTCAAGCAAATTTGCTTACACCATCCACATTCTTCCAGAGATGGATTCAGGGGTGAGTCTGGGGTCCAGTACCAAAATGAAGCCAATCAGTACATGGCATTCAATAAACCATAACACAGGACCAGATTTAGGCCAGCATCATGAAAGATGATGGAAGTTACGTATAAAAGCTTCCATTTTTCTTTCCAGAAAGTTTTCAATACACTCTTGCTGTCTTTCCATGAAGATTGTTAAGTCAAGATGGGAGCCCACAGGCTACTGAAGTCATCTTGTCATTAGACTGGGAGTGATAGGGTGACCCAGAGTAGAAGGCGGAGCCAGGGGAGTCACATAGGACCAAGTCGAACTCCAGTGCTCCAGTGGCCATCCCCATTCTTTGTTTGGGACGTTCTCTGCTGCAGGAATCATTTATCTTATGTGTTAAACCATTTCATTTCATAGTGGTGTTTTCTTGCCACCTAAGCATTCTTTACTTTGGAAATAAAACAAATCTGTTAAATGCTTGGCTCACAGGGGATTCTAAATACATGTGGCTTTGAGGAGTTGCTTCAGATGGCCATGGTTATAGGGAAGCCAATTTGAGCTTTGTGATTTAGGCCCTTCCCTATGGATAAAGTGCTCTTCCACATCTTGCTCCTCCCCTAGTGTTATGGCTTGGATGCCAAGTGTCCCCACCAAGAGGCTCAAATAGGGAAGGGTGGATCTCCAATGTGAGGTGCTCAGAGGTTTTGGAAAGTGATTGGGTCATGAGGACTCTGACCTAATCTTTGGCTTAATCCATTGATGGATTCAAAACTGTAGGGAGGTGATAGAACTGTGGAATGTGGATTACTCTTATCCGTGTGCTGGCTATCCCTGAACAAGACAGCTCCTGCATGCCTTTCGCCAGGATGCTCTGCTGCCTCACCATGACCCAGAAACAATGAAGCTGGCTGACCAGAGGCTGAAAGCTCTGATACCATGGCCAAGATAAATTCTTCTCCATGTATGAATTTTTTCCCAAGTATTTGTCACAACAACAATATGCCTGACTCATAATCCTACTAATGAACATCTATTTTGGCCTACAGAAAGGAGGGTATGGACCTGAGTGTGGATGATGGGGCTGCTGTTTCCAAAGTGTCCAGGTGGCCATCTCTTTCCTCTCTCAAGCCTACCTCTGAGCAACAAAGGCAACAAGTATCAATTACTAGGCATGAACTCTGTACCCAACACCAAGTAATGTCTCAAGATATGCCATCTCATTGAGTATTCATAAACCCCTAGGAGACAGGCACTCATTATGAAGTTGTAAATGATAGAATTTAGGCTTAAAGCTATAAAATTCATGTCCTTACAATCTGAGACATCCATCCATCATCCAGCCCTCCTTGGTTTCTCACTCACCAGGTCCATCTCAAAGGCCAAACTCTGTGATGCCTTGTGTCCTAAAGTATCATGTCCTGTATTTTCAACTCAAGAATCTCAGATCTGTGATGCACTTTGTTTATTAGTCACAATGCTGCAGGAAATCGATTTAGTTAGCATTTTGCAATGGGAAGCCAGCATAAAATTTGAAGTACATTTTCACCCAGTGGTAGATGTGATGCAGGATATTAAAAAATAATAGATACATTGAAAAATCTCTTTTTAATATCAAAGATGTCTACATGGACCACGCAGCTTCTCTGTTAAAATTTAAGAAAAAAACATGGGCATGAATCATTTTAAGAAAACAAAAATCTCAAAGCTTCTTTGTTTGCAAATATGATGTTGGATTTCTGAAACTAGATCAGCATTTTAGAGACATTTTCTGTGTGTCTAGTCTTATATTAGGTTCATTTAATTACAACCTGTGGAACAGGTTCTCCCGGAGATTATATTGAGGAGAGAGAATAAAGTAAAACAAAAGAATAAGAATTTGGTATTCTAAGATAATCTTAGGTACTCTAAGGCAGCACATGATAAATTTCCAAACAGTGGTACAGACAATGTGTCTAATAGGTTAGAGGGGAAGCTAGCCACCATCGATCAGGTCCTTGGGATGAGGTGGGTTCTTCGTATGCCATTTCATTTAATCTTTAAAGGGTAGGGTAGTGTCTTGGAGATCTTAGGCTCTGTTCTGCATATTTCTATTTGGTATTTCTTCCATCTCACTTTCATTTATACACACCTCTAGCCTTACCACAGGAGGGTCAGAGAAGAGGTCAAAGCTGAGTACCCAGTGTGGGCTTCAGAAGTATAAACCCTTAAGGGGGCAGGAAAGACCTAGTAGTGGATCTATATCTGGGGAGGAACAGAGGAAGCAATCTGGCTTTTCCCAGTGTGGTGGGCTGAGGACCTGGGGGTGGGCGATAAGACATCAGAGTTGCAGAACTGAAGAGCCTGGAGCTCTGGAGCTGCTTCCTGGGCTGAGCCCTGGCAGGTGTATAATACTGACACAGCAGTGGATAGGCAGTCCACAGCACACAGAGTACATGAGCAACCATACAAGTATTCATGTGGCTCTGAGTAGGGCAAGAAAACACAGAGACAGCTGTCCTTCCCGAAGGACCATTAGCAGCTGAGGATCAAGAGAGGTAAGTGAGTAGTACCGTTTCAGTGGATAAGCGCATGGAAAGGTGACTGGGCCCGCAATGCCCTAGCATTCTATAACCTCCCGTCAATCGGCCATCACCCAGATGCCAAACCTAAGAGGGTTAAATCTCTCTTACTCACATGGAATGAGGCCTGAAATGAAACAAAGATAAGTGTGGGAAAAAGCCACCTGCTGTAGTGACAACTTTTACAAATGTGCTTTTTGGGGTTTGATAACTTATCCAAGGCCTCGCACCCAGAAATGAGTGAAGCTGAGATTAAAACTTGACCCAACCTTCACCACGCACATCACCTAATCAGATGTGACTAGGGAGGTTCAATGAAGTCCTTGGATGGGGATAGGATAGACTGGTAGAATACTCAGTTATCCTGGCTTCTGTGGACATGAAGAGTGCTAGTATGACAAGAGTGCTGGGAAACACAGTGATTCTGAAAACCAACAGTTGGTCTCCAGTATCTGTGATTTCACCTCCACTCACTCAACCAACCACAGGTTGAAAATATTTAAATAATACTAAACACATACAATTTTCTTGTCAGCATTTCCTATACAACATTCCATGAGAACCATTATATAGAATTTATGCCATATTAGGTCTTATAAATAATCTATAGATAATTTGAAGTATTTGGGAGGGTATTTGCAACTTTTATTCAAATGCTGAACCACT